GGGAAGATCTTTTGAGAGAAGCATGATGCAGGCTATGTACAGCAACCAATTGTATATTGTAGGAGAGTACAAGTCCCTTTAAGAGCTGGGTCAGCCCCACACGGACAAAATGCCCAGCCTGACGGCTGACATCACTCTACTACTACCATGGTTTGGTCCCAGTATTTGCTCCTTGGGTTATTACTGAAGACATTGTCAGAGTGGGAAAAGTGCTAACAGTTTGACCTTGCAGTAACCATTTCTATATTTGTTCAAACTGGTATTTTAGAGGTTAGCAGAGAGTCCCTTAAGGCAGTAGAATAGAAGGATGTAATAACACAGAAACCATTCAGGGTATGGGATAGCGTCTGAGGAAGGGGTGAGAGGCAGCACTGCCATGATCTGAAGAAGCAGCACTGATGCTTGGGGGTAGACACCCAATATTGGTTTTGCTAATGCCAACATTATCCCTAGAAATTGCTCTGTTAGGAGTTTCTCCAATTAAATGAAGATTCCAGAAACACATGGAATCTGGATCTGAGCTACTATAGGCTGCCTCCTTTTCTCTACTTGTTGCCACTGTCCCACTTCCCTCGGCCCTACCCCGGGCACAGATTCAGGTTCCTTGGTTGACCAAGGGCCAACCAGCCAGGTCCACAGAAACCCACAACTTGTAAAGCTTTAGGTATTTTAGTATCTCTGTTGTACAGTATCTACCTTGTTAATTAGCTCTTGAAAACAATGTACTTTTTTATTTTAGTAATATCTACTCAATCAGTTGTCCCAAATCACTACATTTTTCTTAAATTGAGTTGTGATTTATCAGCATACAGATGGAGATCTGGGATATTTTAAAAAGTGAGACTTCTCACTTTGCTATGATAATCAAGCAAAGTGACATCCTTTTGATTGACTGATGAATTATGAAACCAGATCAAGCCACAAGTTCTGTATTTATTGTAGCAAAAGCAATAAAAAGTGAGTTAACCTTCGATTTAAATCTTGACTGTTCCATTTTGAACTCAGTGGCCCCCCAAAAATCACTTCACCTCCCTGCTATATATATATGTATGTACATACACACACACATACGGGATGTAAAAATCAGGATGATAGTCATTATCTAAAGAAGCCCATGTGAACTAACCACACACATTTAGGGAACATGCATTTTATCGTATAAAGTGTCATTATAAAAAACAGGACTGGCCCTCCCTAGTGGCTCAGGGATTTGGAGCATAACACTGCAATCTGGCCATAGCTGCTTCTGTGCGAGTTCAATCCCCAGCCCCAGAGGTGACCACATGGACCAGGAAACCTCTCCTGACCCACCTGCTTCTCCCCTCAGTAGTGCACTTCTTCAAACTGCCTGTTCTGCTCCCCACTCTGACTCTGGTGAATCCTCTCACCGCCCCTACACCTCTGGCCTGTACCCTAGTTCTGTATGCATAAATACATAAATCTTTAAAAATAAACAAACAAACAAACAGGACTATTCTCCACACATGTCTAATGTTAATGAGAAACTGCAAAAATGTAGATGTGGTAGGAGGAATCCCTTACAGGTAGGACTTGTCTAATATATAGCTTTTAGTCCTGAACTATAAATTAGATCAGAGTTTAGGTATTTGAGCTGAGTAATTATTAGTATCTCGCTGAGCACATATCTGAAGTGAATGTACATTTTTGCTTGGGGTGTGACATACCTGAATGGGTAGAGTGAGTGGATTAAGATACTTCCTAAAATCGGTGACCATGTGAGCTGTTAATAATGGAAAGATTGGCCACTGATCTGGACTTAAGGAGACTTGGTATTCTACTCTCTTAGCTTTTTCCTTGATTCTAAAATGTCATTTGCTTCACAGACTCTGAAACCTCCTTAAGAACTCCTGACTAACCTTGAATACATTGGTAAATGCTGAGAAACTGCTTAAGGAGGTTTATTGCATGTGTGTCACGCCACAGACTCAGACCCCCAATCCCACCTTCTATCACAGACCCAGACCCCCTTCTCCAGCTCAGCTTGTCTGGGTCACCTACTGGCATTCATAATACCAGTTGCCTGAATATCTCAGAACATGCTCTGTTTACTATTCAGCGCCTCAGAAAATAAATGCTGGAATAGCACATCCAGTGGGAATGTATTCATAGAAATGTAAATTACTTATGATAAATAGTATTGATTGAGCATTAACTAAGATGCTGCTGATTCTGAGCAGTATATTCTTTGACATTGGTGTGGATTCTTAAAGCTTTCTTAATCCATTCCGAGATTCGAGTTTTCCTGAAGTCTTGTCTCTTTCAGGATTACAACTGCCTGCAATTCTCTTGTCCTTGTTGGTTGTACGTGTTTCCAGTGACTTCACAAGCAACTCGGCGAAGAGTCTCACCTGCACATCCCCTTTGCTCTTAGTAACTCCAATCATAGTACCAATTTTGTTCCTTTCATATTCTCATTGTGCTTGTTAAATAAATAGGGATGGGATGAAGAGATTAGGAGTACAGGATTTGGGGAGTTGAGAAGTTTGGTAAAATAAATAAAGCACTTTGGAGTTCTTCATGCAGAAGCGATTGGCTTTCTATATTCACCCAATAGCGCCCTCACTCACCATTGCATGATTCAGCCAGACTGGAAAGAGGTCATCTAAGGTCTTTGGGTAAACAAGTTCTCGATTGTAGAGAAAGAGAGTCCAGAATGACAAAAATACAAACTGGAAATCAAATGCAAAAATAGCATCAGTAGGTTTGCTTTCAATTAAAATGTTCTAAGACAAGCAAGAAAGCATAACAAAGAAAAACTAGATACTACTTTTAAAGATATCTTACATATATTTTATAGAGATACAGAAATGTCACATGAAGGAAAAAAACAATGCTTTCGTTGACTTACTATATCTACCTTCTCTGGGTTTTCTCGAGAGTTAGGGATCAATTATTTGACATCATGACAGGGACTGAGGTTGTGGATAAACAGGATTCACAGACCATTAAGTCATTTCATTTTAACTGATTACTTCTCTCTTTTCTAGAAAACTTGTCTCAGGAGTGCTGAAAGCCCCACACGGAATGACTTTAGCGTTACACTGCCCTTGCTGCTTTCTCAAAAGGCACAGCTAGAGAAAGCAGGAAGGCTGGAAGAGAAAAGTGACAAGTCCTCAAAGTAAGTTACAAGCTAGTTAACTGAGAGTGGGATCCCTCCTTCATTCAGAACTTTGGGTTGATCCCCACTCTCTTGTGCCTCTTGGCAATTTTGTCAAAGCATCTGTCCTCTATTATATAAAGTCATGGACTGATGGAAAACAAACTACAATTCTTTCAACCTTTGTAAATTTCACAGACTCAATTTCTAAGCCCTAAAAAAAGAAGAAGAAGAAGAAGAAGAAACTGTATTGTTATAACAAAAAAAAAGAAAAAAGAAAAAAAAATGCCTTGGCTTTTGGAAGAATTTTTCATTTAAGTTTGAAACCTCAGTACTAGGACAAGCAGAACTGAGACAGTAGATCGATAGGTCCTCTTGGTAGCTGTTGTGCTTGATCTCACATTGTTCCTATTCTAATGAGTGAAAATATGACCATTGCCATTAAAATATGGATAGTAACAAAGCTTACTGTGTTTGCATTTATCTTGCAGCTTCCCATGGTCCATTTATTTAATAAAACAGGTTACTCCATGTGCACCCCACACAGGTATTTGAATCTCTCTCTCCCCTCCTTCTCTCCTCAGTTGTGTTTTCCATGTGCCAACTTTGATGAAGAGTCTCATACCTTCTTTGTTTTATGGTTTCCATTTACAGAAGTATCATACACTTATTGTAGCAAGAGAAACAGAATTGCAGAGGGAAGAAATCTCTCTCTCCTGCAACTTTCATCCATCACCCTGTTGGAAACAAGGCTATCTTATCTAACTGTACTTTGATTAAGAAAGACCTTTTAATCTTCCTTAATAGACAGCAATGAAGATCTTATGTCAAATAATCACAAAAGCTAATGATAAGTCTAGTTACTAATGTGCCCTATTTTCTGAGGACTCCGACCTGTGGAACATCCTCCCACAGGACATTTATGCAGATGATTACTCTGGCTGACCAACTGGGCTCCCACACAGCCCTGGCCCCAGAAGTGTCCATTCCCATGGGCATGTGCACCATGTTACACACATCTCTGTACTTACTGTGGAGATTGGGAAAGCCAATGTGGTGAAAAGCAGGTCTCTCATGGTAGTAAGGAACTTTATGTCTTTTTTCCCTTTAATTCTTTTCAGCACATCTTCCAGGCAGGCAACCCCATAGAAAATGGCCTGCAATAACTAAATTCATTACAACAAATGAGGGCATTTTCATTTGCTTTAATTAATACATTCCTCACTGACGTAAAGCGCTATCCCTCTGGGAGCAGTGTTGATGTGAGAAGGAGGGGACTATTCGCTGTTTTGGTTGGGAGCCAACTGGGGGGGCTAGTCAACCCGCCACTGAGCCCTGACCTTGCTAGCTGAAACTGATTGAGTAAAGTCGTTTAGGGGATAATAATGTGTACAGTATTTAGTGTAATGGACTTGAGCTAAAATGGAAACAAAATAAAGAGTCAGCTTAAAAGGAGAGTGTAATGAGATAGGTACCTTGACAGCATGGTGGTGAAGAAAAATCAAATAAATAGCACAAGGGCGAACAAAGTGCCAGACATATGGTTGGACATGTTTTGGTCTCTTCCTAGGAAGAAAAATTAAGAAAAATGCCTAGTGCTGCAGCCTTGTTAGAGGAGCCAGACCCAGGGTCAGGAACACCATGAAGGAGCTCTCCTGAGAGTGAAGCACAATATGGTGTCTTGCTTATTTGGAGGGGAAACCAGGATGCTCTCCTCGAGAAAAGGGGACTGTCAAAAGACCTTCCAAGGGAATTTGGGAGCATGGATTAAATCCACAAGATTATAGAAAGCCACAGACTCTGGTGAATTCCCTGAACCAGGCAAGAGAAGTTAGGTCTAGAGTTCAAAGAGCAAAGGCCAGGTAACTGTACTTAAAGATTCAAGCAAATACCTGGCTTCTGACTGAGGTCTGGGGGCGGGGCAGGGACAGCCATGCTGAGTTATGTCACCTTTGAGTTATGTTTGTATAAAATCCTATCTTCTTCCTCAAAAGGTCTGGATTGGTACAAAGGGGTGGTCAGTTGCTCTGTGCTGAGAGCTTGCATCAGGAAGATTCCAGAACCAGGAAGTAGCTCATAAAAGGATAGAGTTGGTTGTTGGGAAAACACCTGAGATCTGAAGTCTAGGGAAGTTCTAAAATAGCAGTAAGAATTTTTTTTTTTTAAAAAAAGATGTATTTATGCATACAAGAACTGGGGAACAGGCTACAGGTGTGGGGAATGAGAGGATTCACCAGACACAGAATGGGGAGCAGAACAGGCAGACCCACTGAAATGCACTGCTGAGGGAGCAGTGGGGGAGACAGAAGAGGCCTGCTGTGCCATGTGGGTCACCCCCTGGGCAGGAGACCTAACCAAAGCTGCAGTGGCTACAGAGAGCTTCATAGTACTGTGCTTTAATCGATTGGGTCACTAGGGCAACTTTACCCTCTAGTAAAGTTCTAAAAGATGTGGCCTCTTGCCACTGCCCGACCTGTAGGAGCAAGCAGGAGAGGGCACAAAGGTGGCTAAGTCAGACTGGCAACAGTCTCAGGTATGTCCTAGACCAGCAGCCCCAGCTGTCAGAAATAGAGGATCCTAACCTCCTAAACTTCAGGGTCAAAATTTCTGGAGGTGGGACTCCATAACCTGTTTTCAACAAACTCCAGGTTTTAGAATCACTGGTTTAGACAGATATTTATCACATAGAAGTCCACCTGATTACTCAAAAATTAGGCTAGCTGATTTTACTGGCCACTTGTGATATGCCAGCCAATGATATAAGTGTGTAATGTCTCATAACAATCTTACGAACTAAATTCTACTATTATGTACAATTACCTATTTATAGTTAGGAAACTGAGGCATAAAGAGATGAACAAACATACCTACATCCCTAATCTTATGACTGGAAAATGTCAAGGTCAGGATTTGAAGCCAAAGTGTGGTTCTTCAGTCAGACTTAAAAAAAAAAAAAAAAGTCTGAGATTTCTAGGACCAGTTCAAACAAAACTTTGTGGGAGGTCAGAAGAGAAATATCTCCAGTTGGAAGACTTCAAAAAGTATTGCTGACTGTTTTCCAGCCCTAGAAGTCTAGTCATGGGTCTAGTATTGTGGCCTACATCTCAGGATTTTGAAAATTGTCTCAAGTGATTCAACTCTGGGCAGCCAAGGTGAGAACAACTTGCTTAGAGGAACTTGCATTTGAAATGCAGACCTGGACTCTCAAGAGAAGTGGGGTTTGGCAGTCCAGGGGGTGAAACTTCCTGGTGGGGATGAGTTTGCTGGAGAGAGAGAGGAGGCGAGAAGTGGGAAGCAACTACTGGAGAAATGTTCTCGTCTTAAGAACAAGGGCTGTAAAGGGACAGCAAAGGTACAAAGAATGACTGAGTGGCAGAAAACCGGGAGTGGATCAACTTCCCATGGTCCCTGGGCAGAAGGAATTTTCCAGCCAGAAGGGGACACTCCAGGAAGGGCAGGTCCACAGTTTTAATTACCACCCAGAGGCTGCTATTCTAAAACTGGTCATTTGCTTTTGATATTCACTGCCTAAGGGCTCTAGAATTTGGAGTCATCTGCACATGGATATTAGAACACGCCTAGTCCACCCTGCCCCCAGCAGCGCTCACCTCTCCCCTGGTTTCACTTCCACTGTTCAGACCTCAGCAAGCAGCTGCTTTAGTTAGTAAGGGAAGGCTTGGGGCCTGGGCCTGGTGAGGAGGCTGCACTGTTCTATCAACACAGCGATTAATTAGGCACTGAACACTGAGAGTCTGCCAAGTTTTCCCTCTTTGAGGAGAGGACATCTCCACCCAGCATGTGAAGTCCATGTGACGCCTTCCTTAGCAAGTGCTACTACAGTCATCATGAGTCAAGCTTGGCCTGACTTTTTCTTGCCTTTCCAGTCACAGAATATGAAAGTTGGACTGGGGAAAAGAACACATTACTCACAGCTTCTGTGGGATCTTTTTCATCAATAAAAGTTTGCTCCACGCTGTGCACTTGCCAATCACATTCCTCCCTCTGACCCCAACCCCCAAGTTATTTCACAGACATATGCCACTTGTAAAGACGCCCACTCCTGTGTACAAGGCAGTTTTGTCTCCACTGATCTTAATCCACACCGACACTCCCTTATCTTTATCAATAAGGAGGATTTCTGAAGCCTCCCACTTCTGGTGCTTCAGCAAGGAGGAACCAGGGGTTTTCCAGTAGAAATAAATAGGCAGGAAGTGAGGTAGAGGAGCACCACACAGCAGGGCTGGAAGGCAAGGGACAAGGAGGTGTTGTGAGCTCACTCGATGGCGTGCCCCTCCCCCGACACCTCAAAGACAGGCTTGGATTAGTTTGCTGAACCTGACAAAGACCTGTTCATTCTCTAACAACAGTACGATGAAATATTTGTAAAATATGGACACAAAGAACAGTCGAGGGAGAGGATGATGGCTGTTACGGATTGCGCTGTGTCCACTCCCAATTAATACACTGATGTTACAACCCTCAGTACTTCAGAGTATTTGGAATAGAGCCTCAAAAGGGGTCATCAAGTTGAAATGAGGTCATAAGTTTGGCCCTAATTTAATATCACTGATACACGTATAAAAAGAGGTTAGGACACAGGAAATAGAGAGACAGGTTGCCATGTGCAGTCACAGGGGTAATATGATTAAATGAGAAGAAAAGACCTGATCTCAGGGAAAGAACTGGTCTTATACCGTACTAGGGGGCTCCCCAGGAAAAGGGGAGGTTCCAAGTTCCCTGCCCCACCCAGAGGCAGGTGGGGCAGAGCAGGGAGGAGAAGAATCTGGAGAGGGGGTTGAGGAGGAAGGAAGTAGGAGAGGAGCCAAAAGGAGACCTGAGAGGGCACATGGAGCAGAGACAGGTGAAGAAACTACACTTGCTTCTTGGTCCCGGTCTGGGTGAAACAGATGTGGGTGAGAGACTCATGGGGAGGTGACTATGGCAGCAAATATCTTGATTTTGATGTTCTTTTCCTCCCAGACCTGTCTGGCCAGTTCTGACCCTTTTCTATGGGTCCCCACCAGAAGGTGCTTTAGGTGGGACTTGAGGCCTTGATTTGGGCCAGTCCCGTTTGGGTGGACTTTTGCCCACGAGGGGATGTGTGACTCTGGGTGTTAGATTTAGAAACTCTATTTGTCTATTTGTATTGCACACTCATTGCATTAAAGTTCTTTTCTTTAAAGGTCTTATATGTTGTGTCTTGATGCGGCGGATGGCAGAACCTATTTAGAGTGGGTATGTTTGGGGATTCAGGGGTGCCACCCTCTCTCTCTGCCTTGTAGCAGTACTTCTAGCCTCCAGAACTGTGAGGAAAGAATTCTGCTGTCTAAGTCAGCCATTCTGCAGTCCTGGTGAGGGCAGCCTTAGCAAAGTAACATCATGGCGCTTAACAGATGGTCTTTAAGAACTATAAAATAAAACTATTATCATTTACATTTCTCAACTATTTTGGCTGTTTCTGAAAAGCAGAGTGAAAGGTATCTTCCTGGTCAAGGTTTACTGGAGAGTTGCTGCTCTCTGATTTGTCTTTTCTGTCAGTTCACCTTTGATTCTGTTTGTTCTACATCATTTCCTGAAATGCTGCTGATCTCAGTTTGTTAGTGATTTCTCATTTTTGTTGCTAACTGACAAATGGGAGAGCTGAATTTATATTTTTTTATGAGTTGAGCAATTTTTAAAACTAAGCTAAAGTATATTTAATTTTTACATTCATGTGTCTTCACAAAATTCACAAAAACCTTCAATTATGGAAATTTAGCCTTTCTAAGTCATCAAGTTTGTTTCTTGCCTTTAAGCTTGAACCCTCTTAAACTATCACAGGAATTGAGAATTTCTTCTATTTAAATAATAACTCCAGAGAGGGAGATGCTACACTTTCCTGGACAGGATACCTTAACTCTTATTGAATGAACAGGTAAGCCACAGCCCAAAGCTAACTTGATGTTTGACTTGGATGGTCTTAGGTCTTTTAAAACGATTCAGATTCTTGCAATGGGAGACACTTCTATAGTAAAAAAAAACAAACAATAGAGACTAACATGATGAATGTTTATATGATCACGATGGCAAGGATGGTAGTGAAATTCTGTCAAATGTTCCTGTATTTATAAGTAATATACTATTTTGACCATCATGTATATATGCATTCAACTTAAGAAACTGAGAT